CTTTCAGTCTTTTAATGAAAGGCAATGCAATACTGTCATGATTCTGAAAGTCAGAGGTATGGTAGGTGGAACCACTAAAGAACAGGCTAGTTCTACAACACTGAGTAGCATTTTTCATTTGTATATTTCAAGAGTGCTTTATAATGGTGGATATAATTACCCCTATTTTACAGATGGGATACTGAGGCACAGAAGTTAAGTGACTTGCACAAGGAGACAAAGCAAAAGAACGGCAGAATCAGGAATAGAATCCGTATCTCCTGACTCCCACTTTGGATCTTCTTCACAGACAGAGGACTAGATGATTTATCCAGCATTGCTCTGGTCCTTGACTCAATGTTTGGTTTTTTGGAAAATAAAATGAAAATGTTACATGCATCATTTTTTAAATCAATCTGGGGTAGGGACAGGGATGAGGGGTTCAGTATGCAGGCTGACCCAGGATTATTCTAGTCCTCTCTCACCACATCTTAAGGCCAGGTGAGAAGCACCTGTCAACGGCCACTGCAGCTCCAAAGGGCACAGCTGGGGCCCCCCCCCCCCCCAGCTGGGGCAGATTCAGTTTCATCTGCCTCCCTGCACTCTCCAGAGTAAAGAGTACAACAAACTGCATTTTCCTTGTTGCTGTCTGACAAAGGGGAACAGCTAGCCATGTTCCCATAAGAATGGGAGGAGAGGGGAGCTTCAGTCCTTCCTCTTCCCCTGTGCTCTCTAAAAGGTGCCTGGGGATTAGGAGATTTGGTGCTGGGGCAATCTGCATGGGCTGCATAAAATCATACAGAAAAGAGAATCCCATTCCAGGCACATCCCATTTTCCTGTCACAATCCAACCCTTACCTTGCTTTAAGTTATAAGAGAAAGTTGTAAACCAAATTTGGTGATGCTAGCTCTTACTATTTAAGAGGAGTTCTTGAACAGAGACTCTCAAATATCTAGATTTTAATAATCACGGATGAAAATTACTGCACAAAAAAATACAAGTACAAACAACCCAATTACCTCAGTGTTTAATGTCCATAGGTACCTAGTCTCAGTTGTAGATAAATTTACAATAAAACTCAATTTAATATTTTGCCCAAAGCTAGAGTCTGTCTACACTACAGCGTTATTTCGAAATATCTTATTTCAAAATAGTTAATTCAAAATAAGTTATTTCAAAATAACACGTGTACACACAAAATGCATTTCAAAATAGCTTTTTGCTATTTCGAAATAGTGCGTCCACACTGAGTGGATGCTGAATTGCATTTAAGGCCGGCCGCAGCCAGGTCTGGCAGGGCATCAGGTCAGGAGTTACTTTGTGTGGCTACTGTGTGAGGCTAGCTGAGGCCTGTGCTTAAAGGGATCCCCCCAGACAGCCGATTCTCAGCTTTCCCTGCTTGCTTGCCTACCTTGCTGAGGGACAGCAAAGCATTTTGTCTCTACATGCTCTGGTTGCCCTCACTTGGGACACCACAGCACTCTGCAACATGGAGCCAGAGCTGCTCCTGGGCACTCTGCTGCTTCTCGTGGACGCGTTGCTGTGAGCCTGGCTGTACTGCAGGCAGCCATCTAGGAGATCTATCGGGGGGCTGTCAGTATCCAGAAGGCCCTGCGGGAGAGCTTCCATCCTGAGGAGCACTAAGAGCCTTGCTGGTCTGCCCCACTAGGGGCTTGTGCCTCATTCCTCCCCCACATCCTTCCAGTTACCCCTCCCTAACTCCCCTTCCTGATATAAAATAAAATACATGTATTTTCATGAACACAAACTCTCTTTATCTAACAAAACTGGGGGGAAAGGGGGGGAAGAATGGAACTCTGGTGAGACTGGGAAAGGAGGTGGGAGAGAAGAGAGGGTGGGAGGGGGAGGGGGAAACCTGGGAGGAGGGAGCTGAAAGGGGGAAGAAGGGTGAGAGGAAGTTCAGGGTTGAGTGTCTCACCAGACCAACTTGATTTTCATGCAAACCTGCTCCTGGGTTCGCATGTGGCCTTTGGTGGCCAGGCTGGCAGCTATCCTGCCATAGATGGCCGTGTTTCTCCATCTAGTGCAGAGATCATGGACCTTGGGGGCATCCTCCCCAAACCCGAATAAGGTCTATGATCTCCACCCTGGACCAGGAAGGCGCCTGCCTTCTCCGGGCCATGGCAGGCTCCTGGGAGGTGGCAGACTGCTTCTGGGGAGCGATGGAGGGCTGGTTGCCAGTGGCTTGCTGGCTCATGTTTTGGGGCCACTGGGTCAGGGCAGTGACTACTGGCTCTGGGCTGGCAGGCTTGGAGCTGGCACAGGTCTGTGGCCAGAGTCAATCCCTTTAAGGTCTCCGGGGAGGGTGGGGAGTCTTCTTGGTTCAGGCTGGAGTGGCCAACAGGGCATCCTGGGAAGGTATGAGGCCCCCTATTTCAATATAAGTGTCTACACAGCACTTATTTCGAAATAGCTATTTCAAATTTGGTGTTATTCCTCATGGAATGAGGTTTACCAAATTCGAAATAAGGGCTCCGCTATTTCAAATTAATTTCGAAATAACAGTTTGGCTGTGTAGACACTAGTAAAGTTATTTCAAAATAACTTTGCTGTGCAGACATACCCTTTGTGATAGATTCAGAATTAGAATTCATGATTCCCAGTGCCAGGGTAATTTCCACTCTTTGCTTAATTTAATCCTTTTAGGATTAAATATTCTAAAATGTGTACACAAAATTTGTTCCCAGTAGCAGTTACCAGATTTGCCAATAACTTTTCAATGCATAAACTGACAAGCACAAATTAGGCTTTTTGTGTATCTAAATTGGAACATGCAAAAATAGCACACACTGACTTCTGCATGTTCCCATTTAAATACTTTGTCCTTTATTTATAAGCTAGAAGAGTTACCCAGTTTTGCTAGAGTCCTAAAAACAAAAATTAATAGCAGGGCTGGGAGTATGCAGGTTACTCTGGGAAAGAGACCACCACCCCACAGTAGCTTTTCCCTAGGAACAGCCAGCAACGTTCCAATATGAAAGGGAGTGAGGGCTTCAGCCCTTTCTTTGCCGTCCTAAAGAGTACCTGGGAGCGAGAGGCTCGGGGCTAGGGAAGTCTTGGATGAGGGAGGGGTGCCATCAGGCAGCCAGCACCTTTCACCTGCCTGGTAAGTCTGTTTTCTGTATGGTTTTATAAAAAGCAATCCCATTCCAGGCACATCCTTATCCTAGCTCTTACCGTTTAGGAGTTCTTGAACAGACAGATACAGACAGACACTCTCAAATATATATTACACCATAAGAACATGCAAAAATTAAATGATTATTTTGTTATAATTGATATAACGTAACACTGCAGTCAGGAACTAGTTTTGTATTACTAGGAAAAAATTAATTTATTCCTAACCTATTAAACATTTTGAAACTTGTTTCTTTCATTCTACACAGCAGCATTAAGGCATAGGCTTGAGCTGTAAATCTACTTTATTGACGGTTTATTGGATAAAAAATTTGAATTTAATACATCCAAGCTCTCTAGAGAAAAAATCTTGTACAGATAATTTAATATCATACCATATATTTTAAAACTATCTTTTTAAGAATTATTGCATAAGAAATTGGCTATATTTATACTAGTATGATTAGATCACCTACCACTATTTTAGGGACAATAGGACTACAACTGACTGACGAAGGACTTTGAGAAACACATGCCTGAATTCCAAAAGAGAATGTGATTGCTGATTTAACATGAATGAAAAAAAATTGGGTAAACTTAAAAGTGGCAAAACAAGTGCTATATTTCACAAGGCATTATTCAATATGTGGAAGATTATCCTGGACACAGACCCATAAAAACATGAAAAATATTGAGTGTGGTGTTCTACATTATATTCTTATTAAAGCAGGCTCTAACATTGCAAGCTGTGTGGGCTATTTCCAAATACACATTATATTTGCCTACAGAACCCTGGCAATCCCATTATTTAATGAACTTACACCTGTATGTTCCAATATCTGGAGTTGGAAGACAAGGTCCTTTTAAGTTTTGTATTGGAGGAAGTGACTTTAAGAATCTAAATTTTATTCAATAAAATTGAATTTTATTCAATCCAATTTCACCCTAATGCATCTGAAAGTGAAAAGGGGTGGGGAGAATCAATTCCCCAGTGCACAAAGCTAAAGCAGAATCCAAAGTCTAAAAAACTCCTCTGCGCTACAGCATATATGAGGTTGAACTGCCCCAAAACTGCTATGTTGGGAACTCCTATGCACCAGCAGAGGCTCCTAACACCTGACTCCCAGTGCACGATTACATTAGTTTTATTTTCAGATGCTCTTCATACCCACAAAGGAAGGAAATAAAATCTGAGCTTAAATACACCCTGAAAAAACTCCATACTATCCATCACCTGTCATGAATTAGGTCCAGCCCACATGTCACCAATATGGACTGATGCACTCTGAAATGCTCCAAAAAACTAAGCTTTTCAGTAACTGAAGTATTACATCTAACCCATGATGTCTTTTTTCCATTAATTCTCTTCTAGTGCAAGTTCACTGTTATGGCAGATATTAAACTGTAAAACTAAACTCTGGCCAACAGAAAACTAGACTAGTTTGTATATTTAAAAAGAAGTCTCAATTTCCTTTTTTTTTTTAAACAGTATAGAAAGCCACACATCTGTAAACCAATAAAATGAATCTAGGCTTTAAATGTTGTTGTACCAAAGAAGATAGGGTATAAATCCTTTTCTAGTTTATAACTAGAACTCATGATGGCCCTTGGGGCTCTTGCAGTATCTGTCATGTCGGGGAGCACTTCCATCATCTTCAGCCCAGAATTAAAATAAATTACCCTTCTCCTGATTCAGTCACTAAAGCAAAATTTCTAAGAGGAAAATAAATGACTAAAAACAATAGCTTTAACAAGGCCAAATGTACAATAAAAGCAATACAAAGCAGAACTTCTTCTCTCAAAACAATAGCACCCAGGTTTTTCAGTCTTTTTCTGGTAGTTTCTAACAAGATGTTCCAAAAATGTGAGTACAGGGTCAGTGTATTTTTGCATAATTGAAATCCCTTTATTTTTATATACTTTATATCAGGCATCAAATTACATCTTACAACAGTATTTCAACATATTTGATTATGTTCACTGCTTTGTTGCCTCAAACATACACAAACTGCTTAATTTCTTATTTGATATAAGGCAAAAATATCAGAAATGCTGAATTTTAAATAACCTATACATATATAAAGGGATACTTAATGTGCATATGAATAATCCTCAAAAATGGATACACTGGTACCTTTCAAAAGGAAAATATCCTCTGCCTTGGTGGAGTCCGAGCACATAGCTTCACTCGGCGGTGTACTTTACCATCTAACTTATTCCCCCCATAAGCATATATTTCTTGGCTGTGTCTCAAATTATTTTGAGGCAGCATTAAAAATCAGCATTTACATAGCAAATGCAATTAATATCAGTCAGCCAAGGCATTGATCATCAGGTTTATGCAGCCACTATGTATCACATCTAGCAGATCTTACAAGTAAACTTTACCTTCATGTAATAAACTCCTGTAATTGTTGTTAATATAATTTAATTTATTTGTTTTAACAGTAGTTGAAACCGAGCGTGTTAAGTGTTTAGAATATTCTAAATTGATCTTTAATTCAAGTGGATCTATATTTTTAAATCCATAAACATCAATTTTCCCCATAGTCTTTTTTTTTTGAAAGTACAAACTAATTCTATTTTAATTAAAAAAACCAGCATATGGATATATATATTTTTGATAGAAGGTGGTCTTCCAATTGACTTTACCTCCTATGTGTATCCGGAATAAAGCTGCAAATTATGATTTTTCACTGTAAGTAGCAGTGACAAGACAGTAAATAATATTTGAATTGTTTTTGATAAGCTGTCCATTGGAAGTTATGTATCTGAATGCAATACTTTGGATGAAGAAAATACTACTATGAATATCCAACATACCCATACTTTAAAACAACTTTTCCTTCAACATAATTACAAGCACTAAGGTACATTACACATGGTAAATAGTTAGATTTATTACATGTTTGAAACAGCCTGGTTTTGTGGCACAGATTCAAGTTCCAATGGTGATGCATGTGATGTGCCAGTCTTCAAACTGGAAGCCACCATTCTCTAAGCAGACTTCTCTAAATAACAATAAAACTTACAGTGGTGTTAGCTGTTCTAGTAGACTGTACTAAATCAAAGAGAGTCATTTTAAATGTAGAAGGAAAAATACACACACTTCCCACTGTTACATGTTAAGCCATCTACTTTCCTTAGTGGGATAGAGTAAAAAGCTATGATTCCACTGCAGTAAATAAAGACAAAGTTTGTTTCTGGCATCCCTTATAGGTGCAAAGATGCAATTTACCCACCCCTGAAAGGGTATGGCATACCACATGTAAAAAGCCTTGAGCCAAAGTCTATTGAGGAAAATGAACACAGAAGCCAATTAGCAGCTAGATAAAAGGGTAATTATACTGTCTCTACCTGCACAATTAAGAGATTTACGTTTTCTCAAATGAAAGACTTTGTTATGCATCACTGATAAGGTTTTGTATAGTTACAGAATTACAAAAAGTGTGGTCCAAAACCACTCTCCATGGGACAGCCATTTCATACCAATTTTGTCACTTTTATAATTACAAACAGTACTGGATGACTTGCAAAGTATCCTTTGCTCAATAAGTGGTTTTTTTCTCCAAATAAGAATTAAAATGGTACCTTTCCTTGAAAGATACAATCAAATGCTTACAATGTCTGATGCTTCCTATACAACAGAACACAAAAAAGAAAGATGGGCATCTGGAGCATGTCTACCCACCCTTCATTTCAATGAACAAATGTCAAATGAATCAATAATGCACACGCCAGAAGTTGAAGAGTTTAAAAAAAAAAAAAAAAAAAAAAGCAAGTTGAAGAGGCAGAAATAGAAAAAATGGACAAGGTGTTAGGATTCTTCTTCCATAGCTACATCCTCTTGCAATTTCTGTACCATTTTCTCCTCCAGCTGTTTTGCTTTGCCTTCAAAAGAAAATACAAAATTAAGATAATTTAAAAAATTCAAGAGGCCTCACTAAAAACTATGCAACTGTTCTTTTTTAAGGATGCGTGTGTCCTCCAGCAAACATTTTAGGCAGAATATATTTTCATTTAAATTTGTCTAAAGGGATTTCTCAAATTACAGTAACCAAGTTGTCATGTATTTGTTATGACCTTTATCATCTGCTAGCCAGATCGAGCTGTCAATACTTTCTGCAACAATTAAAATCTGCCCTCCTCTAGTATAATATACTTTCACCAGGTAGCAATATCAATCAGAACTGCATGCAATAGTATACTCTGTCCCCTTGGTAAAGGGAGCAAAACGACTTAATACTCAAAGGGACCTGATGCTCACTTCCACAGATTTAGGCCTGTCCCAGAAAAAAGACACCAAAGGAAGGATTAAAGCGGAGTGAAACATAGGCAAAAGCACTATCTTTTACATTACACTGTTAGTACCACATATTAGAGATCTACAATATTATAGACAATGTGTTGTAATGGACTATATTAGCATAGCCATAATAAATAAGGAAATTTAAAACATTATTTTATATCCAATCAACTTCCACCAATATCAATTCACTAATCATTTTTCCAAAGCACTAAGACAAATTTTCAGCTGCTCTCCACTTTGTGTATGTGTACCACACATACAGATAGTTGTGTGCCTAACTACCTAATTTGCATGCAACTGTATGCAAAAGATGGAGATTGTTTGAAAACATGTCCTACAAAGAACATATTTAAGAATAAAACAAAATTCACAAATAAGCTAATATCTACACTATCTATTTTACCAACATCTTTTAATATAGCATGTGTAGTAACAATTATAGATCACCAAAAACATATGGGAGGAACAGATTTTTCCAACTAGCTCAATTGGTACAAGAAAAATGGAAACTTTGCTTCATAATGGAGAATATAAATTCCTAGATGTGCATTCTTCAGATACATTTTGGTTAGTATTAATGACCTATTTCTGAATTGTCTACTTAGCTGTCTCACATTACGTTTAATAAACATTTCCATTTCAGAAAAGTCATATTACACTCAGTTACAGAATGAAGAACTCAAGATGAGTGAGGTTCAATAAAAGAAAATACCTCACCCACCTTGTCTCTCATGTCCTGGGATAAACATGGCTACGATAAATTCCAAAAATGTCATTTTCTCAAAAGGGATCATTTGCTATTGAGTCCAATATTTCAAGGAATTTGACACTGCACTGATGTACATGTTCCACCTCTATGCTCCTCATTTCCATAGTCTGGTAACATCTGTAGTTTGGCATCCTCATGGGTGCTCCCAGGCTGGAGTACTCATGGGGAAAAGCCAGGCCTTGTGTTCAGCAACTCCACCCTTGCCCTCCTAGAGCTTTTGGAGCACCACAAATAGCTCATTTGCAGCACTCAAGCTCAGAGAGGGGAAGAGAAGGGACCAGGGACAGTTGGGAGAAGAGGCAGAGTGGCTGTGCAGCCCTGCAGCGGGTGCTGGGAGTACAGCCTAGCTGCTGTGGGGCTCAGTTCACTCCCATGCAGCTGTGCTCCTGTGGTTCCATATCCACCCTGCCTCTTCCCCCGAATGCCCCCTCAACACCAGACTAAGGATGTTAAGGACTAGTTGACTATCCAATACGTAGCCAAGTCAACTAGTCAATTCCCCCCCACCCCTCACTTTCTGCAAGGGGGTACTTCAAAGCAGCAGTGCTGCATAGAGCCTGTACCCCAGGTTCTGTGTGGCACTGCTGCTTTGAAACGCCGCCGCAGCATTTCTTACAGGCACTTGTGCATTTCAAAGTGGAAGTGCCCACATGGAGCCCAGAGTCAGCGGGACTTGCCGCTGGTCCCGGGCTGCACACGGAGTTCCAATTTTGAAATGTACAAGAGACCCTAAAATTCCAACGACTATTCGACTAGTAAATTAATCCTTATTTTACTTTAGCCCAGTCCCTCCTAGACCACAGACATAACAAGTTCAGATGATTTTCTGATACTATAGAATGTGACTAGGTAACACGCATTGTTGGAATTCTGCCCGCCAGGGTGGAAGATGGATGGGGGAGATTGTTCTTATGGGGAAAGGAGAAGGAAGGGAATTGTATCTGGGAGTAGATTATGAAAGATGCCCATCTCGTGGTGATCCAGTACAGATGTCAAAGAGGGTAATGGAAGGAAGCCTGGTCTGGCTAGCAGGAAGGAGCAGATACACACATGGGAGCAGCTATTTTCAGGATTCAATATCCAAACTGATTTATGGAATCTAATTTGAAATACTATGGCTCTGGCTAAGTGGCTTGATTAGAGCAAGAGCTCTCAGCCTAGAAATTTCAGGGAGAAAGTGATTAGGTACCAAGGATATCATCAATTCATCTTTTCCTTATTGTTAAATCAATCAGAGGTAACGCAGAATGAAAAAGCTGAGAACAGCTGGGACAGATACAGAAGCTGAACTATTTCTGAAAATGTTCCTCAAAATAAACTTAATAAGTGAATCAAACTCATAACTAAAAAATACTAATTGTGTCTCCTCATCTGAATAGTATTTTAAGTGGCTCACTTAATGATGAATGTTGCTCAAAATAATTATAAGTGAAAACCTGACCAAGGATTAAATAAACCCAGTTCTTACCTGCATGTGGAGCCCGAATTAGGTGTATATTTTGCTTGACTTCTTTTATGTCTTGTGCCTTCTGTAGCTCTTTGCTCTTCTTTAGTCTGAGAAAAATAAGGGAAATTGTATATTGACGCTTTAATCTTTTTGACAGCTGGCCCCAGGGACAGCCCATGCAACAGCCAATGCAGCTGGGCCAGGAACCTCCTGTGTAATCATCCCAGGGGCAACAGGAGCAGCTACAGTGTGTCAACTCCTGACAGCGGAAGGTTTAGTGGTCCCAGAAGCTGCCCAAGCCTAGCACATTAGCAAAGACTGGTCCATGACTCTCATGTATGCTATGGTGATAAGAACATAAGAACGGCTGTACTGGGTCAGACCAAAGGTCCATCTAGCCCAGTATCCTGTCTACCAACAGTGGCCAGCACCAGGTGCCCCAGAGAGGGTGGACCGAAGACAACGATCAAGCAATTTGTCTCCTGCCATCCCTCTCCAGCCTCTGACAGATAGAGCCAGGGGATAAAATGGTGTCCTTGGCCTAATAGCCTTTTATGGACCTAACCTCCATGAAATTATCTAGCTTCTCTTTAAACTCTATTATAGTCCTAGCCTTCACAGCCTCCTCTGGCAAGGAGTTCCACAGGTTGACTACACGCTGTGTGAAGAAGAACTTTCTTTTATTAGTTTTAAACCTGCTACCCTATAAACACTTAGCCCTTCCAACAGCTAATTCCAAAAATCTGACAAATTATCATCAAACACGACTGGGAGGAAAAAATTATATAGAGAAATGTGAATACAAATTAAGAGTTACTGAAGAAAATCGTATTGGATTGTTACAAATCCAAGATTCCAAATGTGAGGAAACAGACAATTTTGGAGAAAACCAGAGTTTAGTGGTGAAAGGAAAGCAGCAGATAGTAGGGGATAAAATATTTAACAAATGGGAAAAAGGGAAACCAGACAGCAAGCAATAGAAACTGAAAATTATGACAATTGAAATGAGATATTAAATAAATCAGGGGGAAATTCATGCTTGGCAGGGCCAAGAATTATCAAAAGGAGATTATGTATAATAAGAACAAAAGAAATCCAAGAAAAGTGCTTGGCCAATTCCTAGTGGGAGAAAGGAAACGTGTTAATATTCCATAAAAAATATGTGTTCAAGAAACAGCATTGTTCTGCATTCAGAAAGAAATAGCATGAGGCACTGAAGAAATACTTTCCATCCATTAACTGTCAAGAAGCATGTTCAGCAGCTTCTACAGTAGAACCTTTGAGAAATGAGCACCAGCGATATGAATTGGCTGATTAACCGCACATCTCATTTGGAATGAGACTATGCTGCCAGGCAGCAGCAGAAGCAAAAAAGAGAAATCATGGGACAGTTCTCTGTCAAATGCAAACTATTAAAATAAACAGAAAGTTTGAAAGAAAAGTTTGGACAAGGTGAGGAAACAGTGTAGAATTTGGTATGGAATTAGTTAAAAGAGTCTAGGAATATAATTAATTCCAGGCAACAGCATGATTTATGGAACATGGGACGTGTCAAATAAATCCAGTTTCACCTGCCGATGGCTTTTTCGATGAGCTTTGGCAGTGTGGATGAGATTAGTAAGACAGGATTTCCCTTTACAGAAACCATGTTGACTTTTGTCCAACAAATTATGTTCTTCTATATGCTTCACAATTTTATTCTTTACTATTGTTTTGACTAATTTGCCCGGTACTGAAGTTAGACTTACCGGTCTGTAATTGCCAGGATCGCCTCTACAGCCCTTATTATGTGATGCACATAATAAATTAATTAATAATACTTGCGCTACCATTCATGTATCAGGAGCAAATAACCATTTAAAATTTGTGAGCATCATCTCCCTGGACAAAGGACCATCTCTTCAGTGTAAGCCTCATTGCATGACACAACCCAGAACCTGACTGGGATTTCTAAGTGCTGCTGCAAATCAATGTTCCTTCTAATTGTTTCCATCCATGTGAGGGATGCATTGTTATGTGCATCAAAATGAAGCTAAGGGGAGGATATGTGCCGTCAGTAGAAACCAAAAACAGGTATTATATCTATTTTAAGAACATTACCATAGGAATCATTACTCCAGGCATTTTATAATCAAATTTAGGCTTAAGAGAGAAATAAAAATTATGCAACGCATAGATCAGCCAAAAACTAAAACAACAACACTTTGAAAGAATAAAATTACAAAGAATAGGTGTACATTGCAGGAAGTATCAAGAAGTAAAACAACAACTTAAGTGTGTGTTGGGAGCTGAGTGTAAGAGAGAGAGTGTCTTGTGCTGCCCATTTAATTAAATCAACACTCACCAGTCTGAAGCCTGCATGTTCAGACACAGTAGCAGTTGTCAACAAGCTGCCCTATGTTCCACTCTTGAGCTCTGTCATGTCCATCCTCCTCAACCCCACTCCCCTTGTAAAGGAGAAGGGGGAGACCCTAGCTTCAGTGTACCCACTCACTCCGCACAATAAGCAGGATGCTCCCCGGGAGCTGCTGCCTAGGAGAGCCAAGGGTTAGGGCTGCACAGCACTGAGGAGAGGAGTTACTGGGCAGCTGCAAATCCTACTCACCTGTTCATGATAAATTTAGCTTGGCGTTTTTGTTTGATCTCTTCCACTCTCTTCATTGCATCAACTGAAACAAACAAGTTTTTAAGTGTATTTAACATGTGTGTTGTTTGATAATCTAATTAACATCATGAAACAATTTAACTAGTACTATTTTACTACTGTTCCTTAATATGCACAACATCTAGAATAAAAGAAACATCTAACAATTATACCAGAGAAGTTGTCTCTTTGCAACGTAGCACTGATGGATACTATTCTATAGGCAGAAATAGGGCTTGTCCCTAGTGGGTCTGGGAAAAATTAGTACCCTTCCACCTTCACTCCAGTCCTTCCCTCCAACACCAGACCGGCCTCTTCCTGCCCCTGCACTGCCCCCGCCTCATCCCCAAGCCAGCCCTTCCCTCCAGTCCCTTCACCCCAGTTGTAGTCTTCTCTACAACTTAAAAATAAAGAATGATGCCACAAAAGTCATCATGTGAAACAAAATATAACAAACTGGTATAGAATCAATGGAAGCAAAGGAACAGGACAGCAGAGCTTTAAAAAAAAAAGACAGCTGGAGATAGGGAATCACTCAAGTACGGTTAAGAATGCAACTAGCCTGCTAGAGCTGACTTACCAGTTTTGCTCCACAATTCTCTCTGGTATTTCAGTGGCTCATTTCTACGTTTTTCAAACTCAAATGAATTATCCTGTATAAAAGAGGAAAATGAATACAGTTTACTTATATACAATGTGGCAATATGTAGTTTAGGAACAAATGGCTGAATAAATAAAGTTATTATCCACAATTTACATCTGTGAAGAGAAATCTAAAGGATATCAACATAAAATTTCCTTCATTTTATTTGACAATATGATAATATATCTTCTTGAATTTTTTCATTTTTCACCAGTTAGATGTTTATACAAGAGAGGGCAGGTGGAAGCTGGTGCTCGCAAAGAGCACCAGGTTCTGTGGAGCTACCTGCCTCCAACCCATGCTGCTGTCTCTGATACAGAGGTAGCAGTGGGGAGGGTGCAGAAAGGCAGGCAGGAGCCAGTACACATGGGGAACCATTTTTTAAGCCGGCTCCCCATTAAAACTGGCTTCTGTACCACCACCCCCACACACAAACACACACCCTTCTGCCTCATGGGAGGCAGCAACTGGGAGGGGGGCAACAATGCCTGTAAGTCCGCACAGTGGGACCCAACACTTGTGGAGAGCCAGCCAAGCACCGACTCCTGCCTGCCCCTCCTCCACTACTGCTTCCAATGCCAGCTCCCCACGCACACCAGCTCCTGCCTCTACCTCCCCTTCCCCTTGCCCACTCTGATACAGAGGCAGCTGGGGGGGGGG